AAGGGAGGCCAGTGTGGGAGAGCACAGCAGCCAGTCGTATGTGAAGCAAGATGGGGCTGGAGAGATGGACATGGGCCAGGTCTTGCAGTGCTGTGAAAGTCATGGAAAGAGTTTTGGGCTTTAGCCTAAGGGCAGGAAAAGGCCCTTATGGAATTTTAAGCAAGGAATTAAAAAAAAAAAAAAAAAAAAAATCGATTTTAGGTTTTTTTTTTTTGTGAGGAAGATCGGCCCTGAGCTGACATCTGCTGATCCTCCTCTTTTTGCTGAGGAAGACTGGCCCTGGGCTAACATCCATGCGCATCTTCCTCCACTTTGTATGGGACGCCGCCACAGCATGGCTTGCCAAGTGGTGTGTCGGTGCGTCAGTGCTCGCCCAGGATCCGAACCGGCGAACCCTGGGCCGCTGCAGCGGAGCATGCGCACTTAACTGCCTGCGCCACCAGGCCGGCCCCTGTTTTAGTTTTTAGATCGTCCTGGCCATTAGTGGGAAGAGTGGTTTGGAATGGGGTGAGTGTGAATGCGGCAGGATCAGCAGGTCAGGAGTGTGTTGGTAGTGGCTCCGTCTCGCTGGTGGCAGTGGAGATGGGAGAGGAGTGGGTAGATTCAAGACATACATTGGCCTGGGGAGGGGCTGATGAGAGATCAGAAGTCACGTATGACCCCCAGGATGGTTTTAGCAGGTGAGGCAACAATGTGGTGCCATTCACTGGGAAGTAGAGAACTCTGGATCGAGTTGAGTTGGGTCATAATTGTGTTTGCCATCCCTGGGTAGGGGTGATCAGAGATGTCAGGTAGACAGCTAGGTATCTGAATTCATTTGGAGAGGAAGAGGTCAGGGCTGGAGGCTGATCTGTGAGTTGCTGAACACGTGCATATGAGGCTAACATGTGCAGATCACAAGGATGTGGGATTGCCTGAGGGAGAGTGATGAGGCCCTGGGATAGAACCTTGAGGAGGTGGAGCAGCATGGATAGGGACCAAAAGAGGACAGGGCCCTGTGAACGAAGGTTGGAGTAATTTTAGGAGAAGGAAGTGGCCAAGAATGCTAGATGTTGCTTGCGAGTTCTCTAGGAGCAGACCTGAAAATTGAGGGCCTCTGGAGTTGAAAAACATTGAGCTCATGCTGGCAGAAATAGTACTTGGTGGAGCAGGGGCCAGAATCTAGATTGGAAAGGACTAATACTCCACTGAAAAGAAGGAAAAGAGCAAGTGTAGACAAAATCTTTGAATTCAGTTAATCTCTTGTCAAAAGAGATTTTTGTTTGGCTGTAAGAGGTAGTGGTTGTAAAGGAGGCCTTTTAGGTTTAGATGGAAGAAACTTGGGCTTGAAAATGCAGGGTGGAGTGGATAACCGATTGTATAGGGTCCCAGGGTGGGCATGCATGGGATTTGGAGCATAAGTTGGGGATAAATGATCTGCTGCTGCCTTTGCTGTAGGATGCAGGTGGGAGGCTGTCCACGGGCAGTGGTTGTGGATTTGAGAGTGTGCACACCCTGAGGAACATCCTGGCTTGCAGATTCTCATAGATGGCTCAGTTAGCATTTCACCCAGACCTGGACTCTGGACCTTATGCTTTATTCATTTCTTTCTTTACTACTCTCCCTCCCTTTGCTTTTAGGAATGTAAAGTTGGCTTTGGAAAGACTGGCAGTGCACTGTGGGGAATGGGATAGGTTGTGTTTGGGGACTATAGGACAAATGCTTAGGAAGGCTGATAGTAGCCAGGGGTGAGGGAGAAAGGGGGTCAGAGCAGGGCATGCTTGAGTTGAGCCTAAAGGAATTCACTAGGAAGGTGACAAGAGAAAGGATGTTTCTGGCAAAGGATGTAGCACATGTAAAAGTGTCAAGGCCAGAGAGGAGGTATATGTTCAGATGTGTGGAAAGTAAGAAGAAATTGGGATCAAGAGTTTGTGAGGATCTGTAATGGGGGCCAGTGAATGTTTCAAGTTATACCCTTAGTTTTGTGAGTGATACATCTGGGGCTTCTATGATTCCCCAAATTCAGGAACACCGATGGTCATATAGTTTTCCCCATTAAATGTTTTCACAAGTCAAAAAGTTTGAAGCTGCTGAGGTGAGGCTGGGCGGGTTTCTAAGGTTTGGCCAAGTGACTCATCCCTACGCATGTCTCTTTAGATCGTGAGATTCGCATCCTGTCAGAGACCTAGTCACTCTGGAATGGTCAGATACACAAATGTCAGGATGATGGGTCAGGGCCTTGTTTTTTAAGTGGAGCTTGGGAGGGATTTCTTGGGTGGGATGGGGTTTCTGTGGGCAGCATGCCTCTAACTGCTGTCCTGCCTGCTTGCAGACCTGCTTCGGATGTTCTTTGATGCGCTGTATGATGAGGACGTGGTGAAGGAGGACGCTTTCTACAGCTGGGAGAGTAGCAAGGACCCCGCTGAGCAGCAGGGCAAGGGCGTGGCCCTTAAATCTGTCACAGCCTTCTTCAAGTGGCTTCGTGAGGCGGAGGAGGAGGAGTCAGACCACAACTGAGGGCGGGTGGGGCCGGGGACTTGGAGCCCCATGGACACTTGGATGGCCCGGCCAGCTGCCCGGACTGCAGGGGGGGTGGCAGCAGTGGTGGCAGCAGTGGATGCCTGTAGTGCGATATGTCTGAGCTAATAAAGTGGCTGAAGAGGCAGGATGGCTTGGGGCTGCCTGGGGCCCCCCTCCAGGATGCTGCCAGGTGTCCCTCTCCTCCCCCCCGGGGCACAGAGATATATTATATATAAAGTCTTGAAATTTGGTGTGTCTTGGGGGGGGGCACCACCGCCTGCTCCTGGGGTCCTTTTTTATTTTCTGAAAATCACTCTTGGGACTGCCGTCCTCGCTGCTGGGGGCATATGCCCCAGCCCCTGCACCACCCCTGCTGCTGCCTGGGCAGGGGGAAGGGGGGGCACGGTGCCTGTAATTATTAAACATGAATTCAATTAAGCTCACTGCCTCTGCTTTATGGCCTGCTCCCTCTAGAGAAGGGGTATGGATAGGTGGGCAGCCTCCTTTCCAGAGCTGGCACTGTAGCACTGTTCCCCTGTAACCTGGCACCCCTCTTGCCTCCTCCCCTGTCCATGATTGTGCGGGGGGGGGGCGGCGGCTGGGGAGTCACTTTCCTGGAGCGTTGGGCCCTCAAGGTGGACGTGGTGCGGGCCCTGTTGGTTAGGAAGGGAAAAAGGAGACAAGTAGTTGTGGGGTAGTTAATGAACTAACGCTTGCTGGTGGCTCTCCTACAAGAATGTGATCCAGACCCTTGCGTATGGAGAAGGCCCTGGGTTTCAGGCTGTTTATAGCCAGAGAAGCCCTTTATGGCTTCAAGGTCTCATCTGTAAAATGAGGGGGCTGGATGCGAGAGCTTCTTTCCCATGCGGTATGACTGGTAGCCTGGGCCCAGTGAGTTAAACCTCTGCCTGCAGGGTCTCTCTGCAGTCCGGCCTCGGCCCCTAGCCGGCCCTGCGTGGCTTGACGTCGGCTTTGCCCCGCCTGCGTTGGGTGGTGACGCAGGTGGCCACGCCCTCGCGCTTACGTCACCGGCCCGGTTCCCTCTCTCGGGAGCGGCGGCGGACGCGCGGCTCCCACCCCCTCCCCTTTCACGGGTTTTCCCCTCCCCGGTGGCGGCCGCGGCCCGACCCTCTGCAAAGCGATGGACCGGGCCCCGAGCGCGGGCTAGCGTGCCTGGGTGCCCGGCCATGGGCTGTATCGGCTCTCGGAGCCCGGCGGGTCAGGGTAAGAGGCGGAGGCCGCGTACGGGTTGGGGAGTCGGGCTGCGGCTGCCCGCTGCGCGGGCCGCGGTGGGTGGGGGACTTGAGGAGGGGGCCGGTGTCGGGAGAGGGAGGAGCCTGCAGCGGGGAGGCGGGCCAGGCAAGAGGAGGCAGCGGGCCTGAGCGAGGAGGGGGCCTATACCGACTCGGGTTAGCTCCCCTGGCCTGTCTGCTTCTGGGCTTTGCAGGGGAGACTCGTGGTCTTTCCCCTGGATTCCTGCTGTTGGCGGTGACAGGGAGGAGCTCGTCAGTCCTCTCCAGTCCGTGGCGACTGGCCTTGCACGCCCACACACTCATCTCTCTCTGCCTAGACCCTTCCTCTCACTGTCCTGGGAGTGGCCCTATGCTGGGAACCTCTCTCTCCTAGCTGTGTCCCAACCGCCTTAAGGAGTAGCCTGTAAACGCTAGCCAAGCACCCTACCACGGAGTTTTTTTTACTAAAACTTACTCCCCCCTTCAGTCAGTTGGTTGATGAAGGGGACTGAGGTCCCATTTGGGGCACCTGTGAGCACCGGATCACCTCTCACTTCTTATAGCTGTTTCAGTTCCCTTCCCCCACTCCCAACAACAACAAAATCACCCTACCCTGTGGAAGGAACCAGGAGCCCAGAGGGAGGCCATCAGGGCTTCCTTCTCACAGCTGCTGACCTCTGCTTGGGCCTTGGTTTCAGTGGATGGTGGTGCACGCTGGCGCCTGGCCTTAGTCCTGTGCATCTGAGGTTGGCCAGCCTACTTCAATGTCATGGATTTCTCCAAGCCCAAGGCCAGGCAGGAACTTGTGACATTAAGGGCTGGGTTTGGAATGGGTCCTGGGCTTTCAGGGCAGGTGGTCAGTCACACAGGCCTTTAGTGTGGTTGGTACTTGAGGTTCTTTGGAGCTACAACTCTAGCTGAGGTTTTGTCTTCCCTTGGGTTCCCATGAGGAATTCTGGGATTTGTAGTCCTAAATTAACCTCATGACTTTCAAAGCTGAGAAGCAGCAGGCTGCTCTGATCCCTCTGGCCCTGCTAAGGCTTGAAGTTCAGGAAGTCGTTCCCTCCTGTAGTCAGGGGAGAGTTTGGCTGATCTCAGGACTGGCCTCTTGAGAGCCCTAATTAGGTACCAGCTGGAGGCCAGGGATGGCCTGTAACCTTGTGTCTTCCTTCTGGTTGGTAGCATTTCTGGGGACCACCAGTTGACTGAGGCTCAGGGACAGAGACGGCTGCTCCAGCTAAAGGTCAGTTGTGATGTCCATTGCCTCTTGGCACTGTCTAGGGGATGGGCCTCAGCTCCCTGAGCTCGAGAGAGCTTGGCTGGGCCCCTGGCACTCCTACCTCCTCAAAGCCATGAGGCAGGAGTGTTCTCCTTATGTGACTAGGCACAGGTTCCAAGTGGGGAGGGGACTGGCTCAGCATCCGGAGCCAAAATAGGAATAGAACTGGGAGCTGAGCCTGGAGCAGTTCTGGGCTTTTGGTTCTCTGCATCAACACAGCCAGCATGCCTATGATTTCTGTGCTGGGCAAAATGTTTCTGTGGCAGCGTGAAGGGCCTGGAGGACGATGGACTTGTCAGACGAGTCGCAGAGGTGAGACCAGGGACTGTAGATGTTCTCTGGGAGGTGATGGGAAGCTGAGGAATAGGGTGCTTGGGTGGCAAGAGGAAAATTACTCTGGCTTAGATGTTGGGAACCGGGCTGAAACAGGAACAACTAGGCTGGAGTCAGACAGGGTGTCAGGGAAAAGCCTTAGGGGACTGGGGCAAAAGTCAGAAAAGAAGAGTGATGAGCTGTGTACTAGCTGAGGCTGGTGAGAGGAAAGCACCAAGAGAAAGAAGGCAGCAAGCCTGCAAAGGGTCCAAGGTGGTGGGGAGGGTGATGTGGTGGAAGAATGTGGTGTGCTTTCCAAGAGGAATGGGTAGCCTGAGAAACCAGAGAAGATTTGGAATTTATCAAAGTTTAGGTTTTATCCCTAGGGTTTTGATGGCAAAATATATCCAGAGGAGGAAGGTGGCCACTGGCTGCCACAAAATGGCCCCAGGGGCCTGAAGGTCAGGGCTGTGGGATAGGGGCTTTCCAAGTTGTGAAGAGCGCCAGGTGGTTGCTGATATTCTGGGAGGTGGGAGAGGTGAGGAGAAATCATAGGGCAACACTGGATGAAAATGGGGATCTTGGCAGAAGTGCGAGCCCAGCTGAACAGCCTTTGCCCCACTCCTCAGTGGCCTCGGACCCCGCGTGGGCTGTGGAGTGGATCGAACTTCCTCGGGGCCTCTCTCTATCTTCCTTGGGATCTGCTCGGACCCTCCGAGGCTGGAGCCGGTCCTCTCGCCCTTCCTCCGTGGACAGCCAGGACTTGCCAGAGGTGCCGGGCCCCCAGTGTTGGTAGGGGGAAGGGGGACGGCATTCACATGAAGAGGATCTGTATCCCCCACCCCCGCCTTGCCAGCCTGCTTCTGGCTCCCTTTTCCTGCGAGCGGAGGCGCTATCCGGCCCGGCGGGCCCGCAAGGCCGCCCCCGCCGTTCTGCTCTGCTCGGCGCGGTGCCAGCGGGCGGGCTTGCTCGCGCCCTCGACGCTGACGTCAGCGCATCCCGGGCCGTATCCCAGGAGACCCTGTTGCATGGTGATGGGTTGCCAGGGAGACATACACCTTTTCTCTGGGCCTGGCCGCAGCTGCGCGGAGCACCCGCACGGATGGCGGCGGCGGCGGCTGGGGGTAGTGAGGGGAAGGAGGGAGAGCAAGCCAGGAAACACCCAGCAGGTGCTCCTCCCCCCAGGCCTGACCGGAAGCTACCGGCGCCACCCTGGGGGCCCTGTCAGCCAGGTACTGAAGGGAAGGGACAGGGTGGGCCTGAGGTCAAGGGGCACCTGGAGCCCTCCTTGTGAGGGTGGGAATGTGATGGAGAAGAGCTCGGCAATGCTGGGGAGGGGGCGTGTGCCTCTGACTTCATTCATTCACTGGCAGAAACGTTTTCTGGGGCTTGCCAGGGAGCACTGAGCCAGGTGCAGGGTGGAGGTGGGATCCCAGCTGAATCAGCCTCAGGCCCTGCCATCCCGAGATCCCTCAGGAGAGATGCAAGGGCAGTGTTGGGGTGGGGATGGGGGGATGTAAGAGGAAACTGGACTGAAAATATAATAGGAGGTGGCACTTGAGCCAGGCCTTAAATGGTAGGGAGCATTTTGTCAGGCAAGGAGGGCATTCTTAGCCCAGGGGAAAGCTGGGTTCCTTTGCCTGGAGGTAGGAGGGCTGCTTGCTGACAGGGAAGGTGGAGAAGTGGTGTTTTACTGGGCCGAGATCAGTGGTGGATTCTAAGCAGGCCTGAAAGGAGGCAGGGGCCTCACAGAGTGGGTTCTTTCAGTGCCTGGCTATGGAGCTGGCACTTCACTGGACAGTGGAGAGCCAGAAAAGATGTTAAATAGGGACGTGTTGTGACCAGTTGCACTCCAGGAAAATTATTTGTTTACGTTTATACCTTGCCTCATTCATTCAGCTTATGTGTTTGAGAGATTACTCTTCCAGGCACTGTGCTAAACACCGGGGTGCAGTAGTGACCAAAAGAGACCAAATTCCTCAAAGAGCTAAGTGAGGGAGTGAGGGAGACCAACAAGAAATAAAGAATCACGAAATAGACCATAATCACACATGTGGAGTATGTTGGTAGAAAATGGTGACTTGTTACAGACTACAGAGGGAGGATGGACAACCGGTAGGGTGGCTAGGAACGCTCTGCTGAGGGAGTGATATTTCAACCAAGACTCAAAAGATGAGAAAGAGCCAGCCGGCTGTGGAAGGAGGGAGTGTAACACTTATACACAGAACATTCTAGGCTGAGAAAATAGCATGGAATTGGAGGAGCTTGGGGGACCACCACTTGTGCTAACCTGGGCATGGAGGGCTTGAGGAAGGGCAGTGGCAGTGGGAGCAGAAAGGATGAGGGTAGTATTAGAGGCAGTCAGGGGATGGAATCATTAGGTCTTAACAACAGACATGGGTAAGCGAAGCTGAGGGGAGTGTTGATGGTAATGCTGAGGTTTGGAGCCAGGCTGAATGGGAGAATGGTGAGGTGATGGAAAGTAAGGAAGTCCAGAAGCAGGGCCAGATATGGGGAGGTGTTGGGTTTGGTTTTGGTTATGTTGAGTTTGTCGCCCTGGCAGGCTGTAGAAAAACAGCTAGAAAGTGGGTCTGAGGACAAAGGAGAGAGGACCTGGAGGAAGCCCCTGATGCCATACCCTTCTCCTTTCCTCTTCTCCCTTCTCAAAGCCCCCACTCCATGGTTCTTGACTTCCTGACCTGCCTCCTTCCCCTCTGGGAGCTGGGAAGGTGGAGGGTTAGCTGCATTTCTGCTCCTTTGGGCCTGCCCAAGTCTCCATCGCTCCCTGGGAGGACACAGTTTGCTGGTCCTGGCTTCTTACCCTCTTACCTATCCTAGCAGCCACTGGGACATATGTCCCGGTGTCCCTTCCAAGCTCCCATATCCCCTTGACGCTATGGGTGGGGCATGGGCATGTAGGGGGACACTGCTCTCAGAAGGGCACTCACCGTCTGATGCTGTTACCCAAGGTGAATGTTGGAGACACAGTCGCGATGCTGCCCAAGTCCCGGAGAGCCCTAACTATCCAGGAGATCGCTGCGCTGGCCAGATCCTCCCTGCATGGTAGGTACCCCTCCCGTGGCTCTGGCCATTTGGTCCTTTCTTCTCCCTTTTGCACATGCTCTTGGGGACTGTATCCTGTGAGCTCTTGCTGGCATCTCCCTTTTCCTCCCCTTCTCAGATAAATCCCCTTCCTCCCATACAAAGGCCCATGAGGATCCTAACTACCATCACCCTTCCACTTCCCTCCCAGTTGCTTCCTTGCCTGTGCCCTCACCAGGCTTCCTCACTCTGCTCCATCTCCAGGTATTTCCCAGGTGGTGAAGGACCACGTGACCAAGCCCACCGCCATGGCCCAGGGCCGAGTGGCTCACCTCATTGAGTGGAAGGGCTGGAGCAAGCCCAGTGACTCGCCTGCTGCCCTGGAGTCTGCCTTTTCCTCCTATTCGGACCTCAGCGAGGGTGAACAAGAGGCTCGCTTTGCAGCAGGTGGGTGACAGAAAGGGGATCAGCCACACATTTGTCATAGGGATGCTATCTCTCATCTCCTCAGGCCTGATGTCGGGGTTGGAGTCTTTCCACACCCGTGTCTTCCCTCTTCTGTCTCCAAGCTGAACCCTAGTCTTAGCTCACCTTCTCTGCTAATGAATTCTGTGTCCTCCCCGACAGGAGTGGCTGAGCAATTTGCCATTGCAGAAGCCAAGCTCCGGGCATGGTCTTCGGTGGATGGTGAGGACTCCACGGATGAATCCTATGATGAGGACTTTGCTGGGGGAACTGACTCAGGTGAGGGGACATCCCATGCTAGTGCTGCCAGCTGGGGTGGAACTGCCTGATAGGCAGTGATTCAGAGCTCAGCCTCTGGAAGGGGAGAGGAGAGGAGCAGACTCTGTCCGGGCAGTCCTTCATATTCCAGGGGCCGGAGGGCTGTCCACGCTCGTGGGTGGGCAATCAGCAGTTGGAAATGGGGCAGTTCCTTTCCCACAAGTGCTGAGCCTTCTCTGCCTGTCTGTGCAGTTGGGCTTTGCAGTCCTCAAACAAAAAAAAAAAGCCCAGAGACCTCACCGACTCCTTTTGTGCAGCCAGGCCTTGTCTCTGGGAGGGTCTGCTGGGCCTTGCCTTTCCTTCTGGAGGCAGCCTTCTGGCTGGCTATGGCAGCACTGATGAGCCGCAGTGCAGCAGCACAGTACCTCACAGGGCTGTGGCCCCAGGCAAACAGGAAGGCGCACTGGGCCTGGACCGCCCACAGGGCTGCTGGCTCCAGCTCAGCATCCTCTCATTCCAGCAAGACCTGCCTGTTGGCCTTTCTCTGGGCCAGTGCTCGCAGAGGGTACCCTGCGGGGCTGTGCAGCTGTGCACGGCCCTCCTTTCATCTTCCATTCTCTGGACCACATGGCTGACTTTCTCTGCAGCTTCTGGGCTCAAACCTCTCAGACCACCATCCCCCCCACCTCCTTGCCTTTGAAGATTGCCTCCACCCGCCCCCACCCCTCCAGCTAATTAACAAGTTCTCCAAAGTGGGCAATACATTAGGGCAGATTGGAGACTACTGCTGTGGTCCAGAGGGAACTGATTTGGATGTCCGAGGCCAAGACGGGTCCCTGAACCACAAGTGTTTTTGTTTGATTGACTTCCAGGCCTGCTTAGACCCAAAGTATAATGATAAAACTAACATTTATCCCAGGCCACTACTAGCCCATGTGGAATCTTCGTGCAAATTAGGAAAAGGCACCCCTTTATCTGGTGGGCACAGCCCCATGCCAGGGCATGCTGCTTAGAGAACAGAATGTGGGCTGAATTTCAGCCCTCACTCATTGCCCTGGACAGGCTCCCCTTGTGCCGTGAACAACCTGCATGACCATGTATGGTATCCTTGCATTTACTGCTTTCTTACTATGTGCCAGACTCTGTTCTCTCAACAACCCCATAAGGTAGGTATATTAGAATCCCAAGTTCACCATTAAGAGAACTGAGGCACTGAGAGGTTAAGTTGCCCAAAGTTAACCTCCTACCCTCCATCCCCGGAGCTGGGCTGAAGGTGGACCAGGAAGACTGTGGCTTCCAGGTTAGCCAATTGAAATGGGGCTAGTAGGGCTGTCTTCTTTTTCTCCCCACTGCAGACATGGCTGGGCAGCTGCCCCTGGGGCCCCACCTCCAGGACCTCTTCACCGGCCACCGATTCTCCCGGCCACTGCGCCAGGGCTCGGTGGAGCCTGAGAGCGACTGCTCACAGACCGTGTCCCCAGAGACCCTGTGCTCTAGTCTGTGCAGCCTGGAGGATGGGTTGCTGGGCTCCCCGGCCCGCCTGGCTTCCCAGCTGCTGGGCGACGAGCTGCTCCTCGCCCAACTGCCCCCCAGCCGGGAAAGTGCCTTCCGCAGCCTGGGCCCATTGGAGGCCCAGGACTCGCTCTACAACTCGCCCCTCACGGAGTCCTGCCTTTCCCCCGCCGAGGAGGAGCCAGCCCCCTGCAAGGACTGCCCGTCGCTCTGCCTGCCACCAGTGGGCAGCTGGGAACAGCAGCGGCAAGCCTCTGACGTAGCTTCTTCTGGGGTGGTGTCCTTAGACGAGGATGAGGCAGAGCCAGAGGAACAGTGACCCAAATCATGCCTGGTGGTGGCATGTGTCCCCTCGCTGCTGCTGGGGGCAGGGCCTCCGTGCCCAAGTGTGAGCACGAGGCTTCCAGCAGAGCTCCAAAGCCTAGAGGGCTCCTGGGAGCACTCACTCCTCCGTTGTGTGTTTTGCATGAAAGTGTTTGGAGAGGAGGCAGGGGCCAGGCTGGGGGCGCATGTCCTGCCCCCACTCCTGGGGTTTGCCGGGGGTTGCCCGGGGCCTCTGGGGCATGGCTGCAGCTGTGGCAGACAGTGATGTTCATGTTCTTAAATCAAAAATGCCACATGCACATTTCCTCCTCGGATGACATGAACCCCTACGGGGGTGGTTGTGACTGGGCTGTATGGGACAGAGTAGGAGGGAACCCCCCACCCCCCAACGCCTCTCTCTTCTCTGCTGCTCTCCTCACTCCCGAGTCCATGTGCAGTGCGTGATAGAATCACTCCTACCCAGGGCCGGGGGGCTGGCTCTTACCCTCCTGGAGCCTACGGATTGAACCATCCCCCAAGGGCCCCTCACCCAGCTGGGCTCGTGCTGTGCTTCACCTCTCCATCGTCTCTAAATCTTCTTCTTTTTCCTAAAGAAAGAGGGGTTTTGGTCTGTTCTTTCAGTCGGATCTTCTCTGGGAGGCATTAGAATGATGAAAGCACGTACCCTCCACCTGTTTCCTGGCCCCCATGACGGGGTCTGGGCCCTTCCCAGGTCCTTGTAGGATGTGTGGGCAGGGTCCTCGTGGCTCACAGCCCGCCAGACTGCTCCATTCACCCCGAGTTCTCTTTAGGGTGGAGTTGGAAGAAGGGATGGCTCTGGTTGCTACCCAGCTGTGACTTTGATGTTCTTCTAGAGAGGGCCACAAGGGGGCCACACGCGTGGCCGGGCAGTTGTCTGCTGATGCCTGAGTGGGGCAGGAACTGTGCCAAGGAGTGAAAGACATGAGGGAGTGTCTCTCCTTGGGGAGGAAAGAGGGTAGTGCCTTTCTTGGCTGAACGAAAGGCCAAAGCTACTGTACTGGGGGCCTCTGCCCCAGCCAGGGTGTGGATGACCAAGCAGTGGAGGCCTCTGCAGAGCCTGCATTCCATGGATAGCAGGCTCTGGAGTTTATGGCCGCGAGGGGTGTGGGTGGCTGCAGCATTTGGAACCTTGTAGGCTTTGGCAGGTAAGAGAGCCCAAGGTAAGAACGAGCTGATGGGCACAGGCATTCTATATATAAGTGGCTCATTAGGTGTTTATTTTGTTCTATTTAAGAATTTGTTTTATTAAATTAATATAAAAATCTTTGTAAATCTCTATATACATCTGGTCATTGGAGGTTCCAGTATAAACCCATCTTCTACCCCTTTCCCCTCAAAGGGGGAGCAGGGTCAAGGGTCAAGCGACCCCACCCTCATCCTGCCAGGGCAGTGCTGATCTTCCTGCCCTTGGAACACTTGCTGCAGGTGGGTGCTGGGTCAGGTTCTAGGTAGGATGAACTGGGAGAAGCTGGCACCCCAGGTCTGGAAGGGGGGCTGAGGCTCCAGCCTTCAGCTGCAGCTGCCTCCTGCTTTCCCATGGCAGAAGGAATGGGAAGCTGCAGGATCTGGCTGATGGCCATCGCCATCCCAGGCCACCGAGGGGTTCACTGGCACTTGTCATCACTGTCAGAAGGGCTGCCCTCCCCGGGGAGGCCGTGACGGGAGCGGGGCCCCCAGAGTGCATGCACTTCGGTGGTCTCTGTGTCGCTGCTGCTGGTGGCACTGTCACGGAAGCTGGCAAGGGGGGGCCGGACTTTCACGCCCTGTGCTGTGATAGAGCCCTCGATAGCCTTCCGGAGCTGGAAAGGTGAGAGGGTCAGGTGTGTGGACTGAGCTCCCTGCTCAGACTCCTCCCCAGCACTTCCCCCAGGTGAGCTGGACATAAGCCTCCATGCCTTTTTGGAAGTGGAAGTGGCTCTGACAGTCACTATCATCTCACCTCCTTTAGGGTGACAATTCCAATGAGTCTGCCAATACTGGTGACATAAGCATGGTCCACTCCCAGCAGTGAGAAGATGGTGTGAGTCTGCGGGGTAGGGAGAAAATACACTGGACTTAACGCACGAGGGGAGAGCTCTAAATTACAGGCCAGTGGGGCCCAGGACAAGGTGCGGGGGGAACAGAAGGGGTGCCACAGGTGGTGGGGAGAGGGGGCAGGACCACCGGAGGGAAGAGAAGGATAATGAGAATGCTGCTGCAACCAGGCCTCAGAAACTTGACAGTGGGAATCTTGATGTTGCTCATGTTGATGGAGAAATGGACAGAGGAAGGATTCTTCGTCCCATGTTAGAAAGGAGGATGGAAGAGAGAACAAACTGTTCAAATATGACATCTGATGATTGGCCAGGCACTAGGCTAGGTCCTTCTTATGTTTAGCATTTAATTTCAGAATCGTCCTGAGAAGGTGGCATAATACCCATTCTACAGGAGAGGCAGCATGAGGTTCAGTGAAGTGACTTGCTTGGGGTCATCAGTAAGAAGTGGCCTAGCAGCCCCAGGCCACTTTTCATCACACTACAGGAGGAGGAAGCACAGCCCAGTTGTCCTATGCAGATGTTGATTAGTCTCAGGATATCCAGAAGGGAAGTTCCACGTCCCCTTAGGGGTACTGGCCCTGAATCCCGTGGCTCTCACCCCACCTTAGTGGCTGACACATGCTTCCCATTGGCCCTCAGCTGGCTGGCCCTTCTCCCTGGCTCTGACACCCCAGTCTCGGCCTGCAGCAGTCTACATCTCTCATGCAGTTTGCCTTTTCTGGGGCTCAAGTAGCATCCCAGGTTCTGTTGAGATGCAGCTTGCAGTGCAGGGGGACAACAGTCACCCCCCCCCGCCCCGTGTTTTTCTTGCTTTGGGCCCTCCCCCAAGCTTTCCAATGTAATCACCAAGGGGTCAGAAATTGTCAGCCAGTTCCCCTTGTGCTCTGAGTGGATTTTCTTGGGCCAGATGTTTTGAAAAACACTCTACTGACTCAGCAGTTACTGGAATTTTTGGCCTATCATCTATTGTACTGTTTTGAGTTTACTTGTAAGCCTCTTGGCTTCATGTTTCAATCAAAATGGGCATTAATAACCCAGCTTCTTCATATGAGTTACTCAGAACTCATTGTAATTGTCTTAACACATTTTTTTTTTGTGAGGAAGATCAGCCCTGAGCTAACATCCATGCCAATCCTCCTCTTTTTTTTTTTGTGAGGAAGATCGGCCCTGAGCTAACATCTGCCAATCCCCCTCTTTTTTTTTTTTTTTTTTCCTGAGGAAGACTGTCCCTGGGCTAACATCCATGCCCATCTTCCTCTACTTTATATGGGAGGACACCACAGCATGGCTTGACAGGCAGTGCGTCGGTGCGCGCCCGGGATCCGAACCGGCGAACCCCGGGCCGCCGCAGCAGAGCGCGCACACTTAACCACTTGTGCCACCGGGCTGGTGCCCCAATCCTCCTCTTTTTGCTGAGGAAGATTGGCCCTGAGCTAACATCTGTGCCCATCCTCCTCCACTTTATGTGGGATGCCACCACAGCATGGCCTGACAAGCCGTGCATCGGCGTGCGCCCGGGATCCGAACCCGGGCCGCCAGCAGCAGAGAGCGTGCATTTAACCTCTACGCCACGGGGCCAGCCCCTGTCTTAACACTTTTAGCAACTGTGTAAGAAAACATTTAAAATTCTTTAGGAAAGGACTTCCAGAACTTTCCTAACTTTATCTAAGGTGTGACAGTACTTAAAAAGGAGCTAGACGTTCAGTTTTAGAATAAGATTTTCTGTGCTCCCTCAATACCTATGTCACAACTGTCATGTGGTTAGCAAGTTCCTCTTCATATCTAACTTGAATCCTGCGTGCTACCAGTTATCTTTAATTTCTTCATCTGACTTCAGAGGGAGACATATCTTTATTATAAGATTTCCTATTTTAGTAATCCCTCAGCCTTGTCTTCTTATGGTTTAATAATCCCTCTTATCTTCTCCAAAGGGTCCTATTAAATAGTTCCCCTGGATTTTCTTTTTCTCCACAATCCTAATTAGAGTGAGCTTCCAGTAGACTAGATGCATTTTAGGTTTGCAAACCACTTGTCCCGGGCAGTCACCGAGCCTTACCAATCTACTTCCTCAACAGCCTGGCCATTCTCCCCGACTCCCTCACCATCCTCCCCAGGATGGGGCCACAACATCCTAATGTGTTCTGCTTTCCACCTCCGTTCCCTCCCCCTTGGCTCTGCCATCCTATGAGCTTTCTCAAACTTGAGTTAGAGCCCAGACTCCCCAAAATGGCCGATAAGGCCCTCCCCAAGCCCACCCCAGCCTGTCTTTCCAGCCTCAGCTTATGCCAGGCACCCCAGCTTCCAGCCTCACATGATCACTCATTCTTTTCTGAAAACATCCATTTCTTCCACACTTCAGCCCTTCCCTCCTTACACTACCTTTTAAAGTCCCCTATTATTCACGTCTCCATGTTAGTAGTAGTAGCTGCAGTAATTCCTGTCATCCATTGAATACTTACCATGTACCAGGCACTGTTCTAAGTGCTTCTCATGTATCAATTTCTTTAATCCTCAGAAAACCCTATGAGGTAGGAACGATGATCCCCATTTTACAGATAAGGACAGTGAAGCACAGAGGCTAAGACATTTGCCAAGGTTACACAGCTAGCTAACTCGAGGCAGAGTGAAGATCTGGGTTCAGCCAGTCTGGCCTCTTGCTGACACTCTAGCCTCCCAACCTCCCCTTCTCTATGGGTGGCCTCTGAGTGAATGAGGTACTTAGCTGTTGGTCTCCACTTGCACAGGTTCCTATATAGTCTCCAGTGTACTCGCTCTCTCTCTCTTCTGCATGTTCCTCTCCTGAACTTAATTGGGCTACTACTTACTGATGGCTCAGGCCTGCAAAGACATTCTGAATTCTAATCTCTTATGTTCTTATCGCTTACAGTTCTTTGTACTTTTGTTAGTTGGTTCCTCAAAGGCTGCTTCTTTTCCTCTGATTTTTAAGTTTGTAACAAACACCTACTTTGTTCTTTCTTGTTTTAATTTAATTAGACACCAGGGAGCCCACTGGAGGGAGGGCCCGTACTTCTTGGGCTTGGGAACAGTGAATCGACAGGGAGAGGGACAGCGTGGCCTTCTGAAAGAATCCTGGGATTGGGGCCAGGAAATCTGGGCTCTGGGCCTGACTCTGCTATAACACAGGATTGGGCAAGTGACCTCCGCACTACCTCAGTTTCCCTGTGTGTTAAAATGGTTAAATCCACAGGCTTTTGGGTCAGATCATCTTGGATTTCAGGCCTGGTTCTGCTACTTACTAGCTACGTGACTTTGGGCAACTTGCTTAACCTCTCTGAATCTCAGGGTCCTCATCTATAAAAACTGGAATATCACAATATCTATCTTACAGTGTGGTTGTGAGGATTAAATTAAACATGTAAAGAGCTTACTTAGCCCAGTGCCTGGCACATAGCAGACAGTAAAAACACGTCAGCACATTATTATTATCATCATTATGCGATATTTGAGACCAAGAAAGATGATGGAAAAGCTTTAGAGGTCTTAGAAAGAAAGGCTTTAAATACAAGCCAAATGTATTCTTCTCTGGCCTCTCTCCTTTTTATCTTGCAACTACACTGCAGTGCCCCACTCACTTTGATCCGAGGTCTTTACCCAAAGGCTTCTAAGTTCTTTTATTACCTTTTGCTTTTTTGTTTCTCTTTGGTCTCCTGTCCTTCCTGCCCTGGCCCCTGCTTGTCCGTGCCAGACTGGCTCTTAGGCACAGCTTGTGTCTAAGCTAGCCGCCCAAGATGCAGACCCTGGGAGTGTCCCCCACTGCCACCTGCCCCACCTCCATGCCTCAGAGGCTTGCACGTTAAACCTGTGGACAATTGAGCTACAACACCCCTTGGTTTCTGCCTTGGCAGCCTCCTGAGTGTGCTTGCACTTCCTGCCTTCCCGCAGAAGCCTGAAGGTGCCCGATGATGCCGCTCCCCCATCCTGGGGAGCCCCTGAGGCGCTCCTCCACAGAGAACCGACGCCCTCCTCTAGAGTCAGCCTCACCTACCACCAACCTGTCTGCACTCCAGTTTTCTCCTCATTTCTGCAGGCTGTTTTGCTCTTCTGCTGAGCTCTCTTCCTGTGTCCCTACCAGTTTTCCTTTGGCCTACACCGTCAGACTTTCTGGGGTCTGACATTCCAAGCCCCCCACTGGGCATTTCTCATCTTTGTTTATCTCTTCTCTGCGGTGTCTCCACCCCTACTTGGACGTTTGTTAGCTTGTTTATTAGATTTTCTTCTCCTGCCTGTTTCTCACCCATGTTTTTCCGCATGGGTGTATCAGCCTTGTTGGGCGCTGGCAGCCTCCTGCCTAGTTCTGACCCTAGCCCGGCCTTCTGGCTTCTACCCATCTCAAGCCCTGTCTTTGTTGTTGCTTTGGTCCAGAGTTCCCTGGGTGCAAGGCTGAGCAGAGGAAAAATGATGCCTGGCTCCACTGTAGGCAGGAAGAGGGTAAGGGGCCCTGGCTCCTGGCCTCCAGGCCTCCCATCGTTTGAAGCAATGTGTTTGAAAAACATCACAGCATGGAGCCCACTCTCTGCTGTTGCTTTTTCCCCCACTGGCCTGAGTCTAAACTTGTGGGAGGACCTAGATCCCCACCCTGTGCTCCCGAGAGCCTAGGCCAGCCCCAAGCCACTGGCCCTACCTTGTGCAAAGAGGTCCGCTCCACCAGCTGGAAGGGGGCGGGGTCGATTTTGCAGTCACTGAAGTTGACAGGTTCATCTAGTTGCTGCTCCTCCCACTCCAGAATCTAGGGGACAAGACTGGGAGGGTTAGGGGGAAGGTGCCAAGAGCTATTCTCACCTCCTTAAAGCTGGCCTGCCCTTTTTCCTACTCCACGGTCTCTCCCATGGGGACAGCAGCCAATTTGATGACCCAGGAAGAAACAAGGTCCAGAGTCCAGCCACACCTTACCTCCTCAGGGGTCATCTCGCCTTCCAGGTCCGAGGTGCTCTAGGAGAGAGGGAGGGAGGTTGGCATCTACAGGTTGGGGGAAGGTGGCTGTATCCTCCAGGCTCGGGGGAGGTTTACCCTGCCTAGACCCGGGCCCTCCCTGCTTGGTGCTCCTGAGCTGCTGGAGGAAAGGGAGCACTTACCGTCAGGGAGATTCGGACTCGCTTCAGCTTGCGCTTGTCACAGGATTCCGACTTTTCCAACTTTGTTAGAGCCAAACCAGAGAGAAGAGGAGTTGATGTTATAGGGAGGAGGGAGGTGAGGGGGGGCAGTGGAGCTCAGGGGAAGGGTACGCTGCAGGGACAGAGCTGACATCTAGGAGGGCAGAAGAGCAGGGAGAATGGAGGCAGGCATGGCAGGGTTAATGGGGAGGTTGTCTCAGTGTCAGAGAGAGAGCTGGAAAGAAAGAGGCGATGGAGAGGCTCCAACCACTCACCTCGGAAGCAGCCTCAGGGGGTGGACTGCCACAGAACAGACTCCTGAGGGTAATGCCTGCTGGCTCCACATTCCCTGTGTTCCCAAACACAAGGCCCCGGGGGCAACGTCATCTTTGACGGGGGAGAGGACAGGAGAGGTGAGGACGGCACGGGGAGAGCGTCCTGGTTCTACCCCTGGCTCATCTGGGCAGCCTCTTAGCTGGGATATGCTCCAGCAAAAGGCTGGGCAGGGATATAGTGGATCTTGGGGGCCGGGTTCTGGCTCAGTTGGAGGGTGGAGGGGAGGTGCTCATAGGAGATGGGCTCACCTGTGGGACTCTCCCTGAGGTTCATGGTATTGCTAGACCCCCTCTTGAGAGCAGGCTTCAGTGGCTTGTGAGTCTCCCCCCGGGCTGCAGGGAAGCTTGAGTCCTCTGTGTTCACCTGCCCAGGCAAGAAGGGGCTGGTGAGGCTGTGGCCCCAGACCACCTCTACATTGCCCTCCCAATCAGTCTACGCAATGACATTTGGGAAGTCTGTGGGCTATGGGGCTTTTCCCCTCACCTGGAAGTGAGCAGAGGTCTCAGGGCTGGGGAGACTCTCCTGATCAGATGGTGGAGAGGTCTGGGCAGCTCGACGCTCCTGCATGTACTGCCGCCGGCGGGCTGGACTCAGCTGGGCCCCCAGCAATGCCACCACCTGCGAGCGCTCGATGGAGCCCAGAAGGATCATGGACTCTGGATAGAGCAGGTGGGAGGACTCAGGAGCCGGGGGTGAGGCCCTCCTACCCCATCCCCTGGCCTTCTCTCACACCCAGAGTGGGGCCTTGTACAGGCCACACATCAGAGGGCAACCCCGGGCTGGCAAATGCTGACCCATTCCCTTTGGAACCAAGAAGACTGGGTTTGAGCCCCTGTCCCCTCCCCCTTCCTAAGCAGCAACCCTGGGAGATGGTCCTAGCACCTGGGCCCCCTCCTGGTCTCACCAGGGGACTCCACTAGAGCCAACATGCGGCCCTTGGTCCTGTGCAGTGCCAACCGCAGGTCCCGGAAGGTGCAGCTGAGGGCCACATAGGGAACATCCCGCACCATGATGTCCTCCACTCGCATCTGGTACTGCCTGGGAGCAGAGAGAGGCACTGGTTTGTGGTCAGCATGGGGAGGGTAGCCGGGAGCACTACCATCCCAGGGCCATAAGGAAGGCCCCAGAGCCCATGGGGACAAGGGTTAAGGGCCAAGGAGTACTCCCCGCCTTCATTCTGATGAGGCGGGGCCAGCCAAGCTGCCCCAGGGTGTGGACGAGGGCAGCTCCGGCCAGGAGGGAGCAAAGTGGCTGGTCTCCCAGCTTCACTGGCTGAGGACCTTGCTGCAGGTGGGGATGAGGGAGGGCCTAGGATGCCTTTGGCCCCTCACTCACACCCCCCTTGTCACCCGGCCCTCCGTACTGGTGGCGGCCCCAGCCCAACTCAGGCAGATAGGGCAGTTTCTTGATTCGGATGATGCTGTCATAGAGTGAGGGCTGTAGGCTCTGGGCAACGGCGTTGGCCAGGATGACGGCAATCATGACGGGCAGGATGTGGGCAATCTGGCCTGTGAGCTCGAACACGATCACGGCTGTGGACACTGTGTGTGTCACTGCTCCTGCCAGCGCAGCTGCCCCTAGGGAGAGCCACTCTCAGTCTCCCCAGGGTGTCCAGGCCCCAGATCACCCTCCCCACCCAGGGACAGTCCTGTGGGGGGCCCTCAGGGCCTCTCCAGTACAGTCCTGGGGACTGGGCTTCTGCATCTGAGGGAAGCCTGGTTTCTGCCAGCAGGGGGCACCAGAGCCTCAGACCCTGCGGCCGGCCAGGGGTCTTCCCAGACAGATGGGGACCTGGAGCACTCACCCACCACTGCGTAGCCCCCAGGCACAATCCTGTAGGTGCTGCTGTCCGTGTGAATCCCGTCTGGGAACCAAGCAGCCATGCTTTCACCCACCAGACGCCCAAATGCTGCTCCTTCAGGGAGGGGGGTGGGAAGAGAAACAGGTAGTGGAGGGGGAGGGCGGGGGCACTAGGAAGAGAGAGGGTCAGAGGGTAGGGGAGGGGCCAGTGGGTCATTCAGTGCAGGGGGCAGCCCTGCAGGGGTGGGGGTTGGGGTTGGGGCTGGGGCTGGACCAAAACCCCTCCCAGGCAGAGAGAGGATGGCCAGGGGGTGGCCAGAGGGTAGGGAGGGTGCCGGCTGGGAGAACAGGCAGCTGAGGACTCACCAATGACAAAAACAGGCATGAAGGCCCCGCAGGGCACCGGGATGGTGGTGGCTAGTGCAGACATCCAGAACTGCAGGCAGAAGGCGGTTCAAACAGGTGGAGGCGCCACCTGGCCCCAGGCTGCCCCCAGCTCCACCCCAAGGAGCCTACCTTATCAGTCAGGTACCTCCGTCCTAGCTATCCCAGAATCCCCCAGAGATGAAGGGAAGGGGAAGGACTCCAGAACCAGATGGCTTGGGTTCAAACCCTCACTCTGCCATCTAGCTGCGTGACTTTGGGCCAATTACTTAACTTCTTTTGAGCCTCAACTTTTCATCTTTAAAACAGGGATACTAATAGTACCTTTCTCATAGCCCTGTTGGGAGGCTTAAAGGAGTTAATGTATGGAGAGTGCTTGGAACAGTGCCTGGCACCTAGTAAGCCAATGTCAATGTAAGCTCTACATACGTAAGGAGCCCCACCTTCATGAGAATGAAGATGACCAGGGTGAGGAAGACGTTGGCACGTGGTGGGTTCCAGGCCTGTGCGGTTCCAGGCAGCTCTAGCTCCTCCTCCACCAGGCCCTGGCGGACCCATGTCCGGTTGTCAAACAGGGTGACCAGTGTCTCTTTCTGTGAGAGCTACGGGTGAACAGGGTGCCTCAGACTGGGGAACAGATAGGATGAAGGAAAGGGGCCCACAGGAAAGCCGGGGCAACAAGGGATCCCATAGTCACACTGGGACTGTTGGCTTTAGAACGGATGATTCCCAAGGGAAAGCGCAACTTCCTGTTCTGCCTGGGGTTACCTGTCCAGCCATGAACTGTCCAAAGCCAGGGGGGAAGGTCAGAGTGGAGATGAGCAGGGTCACCAGAGCCGGGAAGAGCAGGCGTCTAGGGATGTAGGTTTCAGAGCATCAAACATGGGTGGTGCACCTACTACGGACTGGTGATAGCTGGTGATAAGCACCCCACATGCCTCAGGGCTGAGGTCACAGCAGAGCCTTGGCTCTTACATAAAACCAAACGGTTCTGACAGAAGGTCCCCTTTGCTGTTCCTGATATGATGGCCCCAAGGGTGATGGCCGTCCCGGGTTATTATGAGCCCAAATGCCTTTCTGTTGGCTTCTGACTCCCTGAGTGGGTAGCAGCAACAGAAAGTCCACCCTCCCAGCCCTCTCTTGGACACCTCTGAGCTGCGACTCCTTCCCCTGCGCTCAGAAGCCGCCGCTGAAGGGTGCGTTGTGTGTGAGAGTGTGAAGTTGCTATCTCTGTCCGTTTCTCTATGGCGTCTTAGAACGAAGGTCAGTGTTGGGGGAAGCTGGGGTCACTCATGAAATTGACCACAGGTGCCACAGGGTGCAGGTTCAGCTGGCTGTCCTTTCCCTGAAGGATGCAGTCCCAACAGAAGTCACGTCTCAGGCCTCCCTGCTCCCAATCCTCAGGGTCACAACTGAGAAAGCTGTGCTTTGGAGATTAAAAAATCTCCCCCATCTCCATGCTTCATGGGGTGGGTAGAAACTAAGGCTCAAACACTCTCCAGGGGGCACTGCCCTCTGGGCTAGGCTGAGGGCCTAAGGAAGCCTCAGTCTTTGATCCAAAATGCTCTCTTCCGCTGACAAAAAATTCAAAAGTGCCCATTTTCAGATAATTCATATAAAAGCCAAAATGTTCAATCAGCCTGGAAAATACCACTGGCTGATTTTCTCTTTTTGACTGGGCCATTATTTGCCATCTCACCTGTCACTGGCCCCCCCACCCCACTGTGACCCTCACAGAACCCCAAGTGGCCTAGAGAGGAGCCCAGAACCAACTCACTTCTTCATGAGGAAGCGGTTGATGGTTTTCTGCTTCCGCATCACCTGAACAATCTTCCGGTTCAGGTAGACAAAGAGCGCTCCCCCGAAGCCACTAGCAATACTGGAGAGGGAAGAAGCCCCAGGGTAAAAGGAGGTCTTCCCTCTTTTCCCTCCTCCTCTCCGACACACCCAGCTCCCTCAGCTCCTCACCCAATGACAGCAAAGGCAGGCAGCTCCTGGAGGTCAAAGGGGAAGTCGAGCCGGAATCGGGTTTTGAAGAGAGCTGTAATGGTCTCTGAAGGGATGGCAGAGTAGCAGAGGGAGGCAGGTGTAGCACCGAGGACCCCCACCCGAGCCATCTCAGGGGCTCCCCTCATCTCCCAGATCCCCCCCCACCTTCATCACGGTTCCAGACTGCCAAGACCCGGAAGATGAAGGCACTGAAGGTGGCAGCAAAGAAGCCCCGCCAGTAGTTCCGCACAGCGAAGAAGGTGGAGGTGACCTCAATGCTGAACAGGACGCCTGGGAGGGGGCAGGGGAGGGCGCCACGTGAGGCCTGGGCTGGGCCTAGGGACACAGACCCAGACAAGAGGGGCAAAGGAGGTGAGGCCAAGGGCAGGGCTAGGGGGCCGGAAGGACTGCCGACCTCCAATAGGTGCGGCAAAGCAGCAGCCCACTCCCACAGCACAGGCAGCGGCCAGCATCTCTGTTTTCCGGGATTCATTCTGACAGGAGTGGTGGAAAGAGGAGTCAGCATGGGCTCAGCAGCCCACCCCTCCCCTCTGCCGTCCCCCAGGGTCCCCCTTACCTCATAGATGCCCCCAAAGAGGGAGAGGAACTTGCTGAGCAGGGCGGCACACAAACTTGCAATATGCACAAAAGGGCCCTGTGGGGTGGGGGCAGGCGGTGAGTGGGGAAGGGTGCCTCCTGACCTTGGCCTGGCTTCTTCCTCCACTGGAAGGGACTCCTTCATTCCCCAACAGGCAGTTACCTCTTTGCCGAGGGGCATCCCGCTTCCCAGGGCACAGGTCAGCCCGATGACCTTAGCTACAAAGGTCTTGAGAGTGAGGTATTCTTTCAGCACCACTCCCCGCAAGATGGTCTTCATCTCGGGGATGCCGGACCCTGGAGAGGGCACAGTCCCAGGAGAGTCATCCAATGTGCCTGTTTCAGGAGGTCCCACCTTTGCCCTCCCCTGCTCTCCTATTGTACCGACAGCCTGAGGAGCCAGGATCTGTGTGAAGCCGGCTGAGAAAGTGATGAGGACGATGGGGTAAGTGACCCAGGCCAGGTACTGGAGCAAGAGGTTGGTGTTCAAGCCCCGGGACATCCACTGCTGAGCTGTGGGGAGAAGACGTGCTGCTGGCCCCCGATGCGCACACCCAGTCCCCGCCTGGCCACTGGGACATACCGATATAACAAGCTGCCCCAGGGAATATCGCAGAGAGCCCAAGGACAAGGGGTAGGGAGGGGGCCCTGGAGGGCATTCACTGGGACAAAGATCACCATAGGTAAGAGAGTCAGATGGAGAGCGGGGGCAAGAAGTTGTAGCCTAGGTGAGTGGCAGTGAGTATGACTGAAGACGGGGCAGTCAGGCCGGGGAAAGTGGCCAGTGGCCAAGTAGCCAAGAAACTTGGACAAGTGTGGCATGGAGGAAGCAGGTTGGCTCTTCCCAGCCCGCCCCCTGCCAGCACTTGTCCTCACCCTGCAGACAGGCAGCGATGGCATAGTCCATGGCCCAGCTGACCAGCGCCATGAGGAGCCCCAGCAGGACCAGGAAGATCCAGTCTTCACCAACCCTGGACACTAGGAACTTATGGCAGTGTACGGAACAGACTGGAAGCAGGGAATGGAAGAAGGGGGAGGCTGGCACAAAAGTGCTTTTACCCTATCCCCCTTCCACCCCCCAAAGGGCAGCTCTAATGGCCTCTGTCCCCCTCAGCACGGCACAGCCAGGTCCCCCGCCCCAACCCAGATCTCACTGTGGCATCGGGTGCAGCGGCTCTGTCTGTATTCCAGGAGCTCTGGGGGAGTCCGAGGGGAAGGCGGACCCCTCCAGGGCTCCGGCCCTCCCAGGCGGATCCGAGCAGCTTCCTCTTTGGCAAAGGCCCCCAGCTCCTGAGTATAGCGGCCATACATCTGAGCAATAGGGAAGGTGGGGGTTAGCAGATGTGGGCTGAGTGGTAATGCAGGGAGGGCCCCTGGGGCCTCAACTCCCTTTCTCCCAGTCCCCACATTATATACCCCTCCTGAACCCACAGTTCCCACTTTGGCTTGGGGTGTGGGAACAATGCACATTGCAGACTGTGGGGGCTGTCCTGGCTGGAGTGATGGGGACAGCCAAGGTACAGGGACACAGCTCTGGGGGTGGCAGAATAATCAGTCCTCTTCTCATAGGCCTGGAGGGGAGCACTGAGGAGGAGTGGGAGGCAAGGCCCTAGAGGAGGAAAAGATGGAAAAACCTAAGGCAGTCTGAGAGTGGGAGGAGGGAAGGTCAGAGAAGAAGGGATGGTCAAGGGCGTATGGGTAATAATAAGGGCCTCATGGAGCTGGGGGCAGCTGAGTTGGGCCTAGGAGCAGGCGGGGCCCCAATCCTTATCACGTTCCTGCTGGGCCTCTGGCCTGTGACCGACTCAGCTGCACCCCTCCCGCCCAACCTAATCCCCTTGTCCCCATTCTCCAACCCCACCCCCCACCAGCCTGCCAGCCCAGCTGGGAGTGGAAAGTCTCTCTGAGTAGGTGGAGAGAGCTCGGTGGCCTTGACCCCACTCTGGAGCTGCCCTGAGTCCAGTGGTGGGTTGGGGGACAGCAGAAGCTGATGGTTGGGCTGTGACTGTGGATGCTGGGGTGATGGGATTAGACCTGCCAAGCTGGGCGTGTGTTGGGGGGTGGGGAGGAGTAGATTCCGGCTGCCACCCGCAGAGCTTCGGGACACAAAGGGCTCCTGTTGGGGCTGGGGTTGGGGGGGGGGAGGGAAAGATAGAGACAGAGAGAGAGTGATAGAGAGCGAGGAAGGGAGGAGAGAGAACATAGGAGAAAGAGGGGGAAAGGAGAGGCCAAGGGAAGGGGCAGAGGAGAGAGAGAAGGAGAGGGGAAGAAGGGAGGAGGAAAAGAGGAGAGAATAGAGTATAAAGAGGTAGACACACTGTAGGAGGTGGGAGGTGAGTGTGTGAGAGAAAGACAAAGGGATGGGAAGGAGCAGGGGGAGAGGCTGGAGCAGAGAGTGCCTGGGAGAGAGCTTGACCCTGAGAACTCAGTTCAGACATACAGACCAGGCGAAGGAGATGGAGATGTGGCTGCACAACAGATGGATACCATTTCAGTGGCCAGGTGCCTGGCTTCCTTGACCAATGCCCCATTCTCAGCCTGGGCAGACTGACAGACACCTCCCACCCCATGCGAAGGCTTGCCCCTCTACCCTTGCTCCACCTCCACCTCTGCCACCTCTTCCTGTCATCCTGTTTCATCTAGTCACTCTCTCGTAACTGGGCACCTCCCAGCCTCAGTTAAAGCCCAGGCCCCATCCTCCTGGAGAGGTTTCCTCCCTGCCTTCTTCCTGGGCAAATTCCAACCCAAGCTGGTAAAAAAGAAGCCACAGGGCCCACTCCTTTCCCTAGAGATTGGGTCCCCCACCCCAGCGACATAGGAAGGTGCCAAAGTCTTCTCAAACACTAAGTTACAGCGATGGCCATGAGTCAGCTCAGAGCCCCAGGACCCCTGCTTCTAATAAGGTCAAGGGACACCCCTGGGATAGGTGGGGGCTGGATACCCAGTCAGCATGGACAAAGGTCCCAATTCCCACACCCATTCCTGCTTGACCCTAAAGCTCTCTTCCTCCACGGGGCAAGCCACCTTTTTTCCAGAGAAAAAAGGGGTTCCTGTCAATGCTGGGTTGCCAGCCCCCAGGGGTAAGGGCTGGGGCCAGGTTAGGGTCTGATGATCTTTCTACACACTCATTTCTGTGTCTAGCACCGTGCCATGCACATAGTGGGGACAGAGGGAATGGAGAAAGGAGTGTAGAGAGAGAATGTTCAAGGGTGTGAGCGGCGCTGGGGAGGGGTACTGGGGTGCTGAGACTTGGGCCCAGGTAGTGAGGGGAAGGAGCAAAGAAAACGTGGGCGGGGGGTAAAGAGAAGGACACCTGGGACAAGCCCCTGATATCCTTGTCCCCTGCAGGCCCCCAGCCTCAGCCAGAAACCTGAATGCAGCTTTCCACTCCTTAGCCCTCCAGCCTCTCTGGCCCTCGAGCCTCAGTTTCTCCAGCTCAGAAGGCTGGGGCGAGGTTAGGGTAGGACCGCAGTCCTCGCGCTTCCAAGGGTAACCAGGAGCAGCGGTTCCGGAGCGCACTCCTCAGGGCTCGGCTCGGCTTCACTTACCAGGGTCTGCTGGTAGTGCAGCGCCCGCGGCTCCATCCCTTCCGCCGCCGCTGCCGCCGCCGGCGCCGCCATCTCCGCGCACAGCCCTCTGGCCTCCCGCGGCGGCTCGGGCTCCGGCCCGGACTCGGCTCCCGGCCCGCAGAGCCCGCGCCGGTACCCGTCCCGTCCCCGCAGCCCGGGAGGCCGAGCGCAGAGAGCCGCGGGCCCCAGGCGGGCGCTGCTGGCGCAGCCACCCGCTCGCGTCCCCTCCCAGGCGGGCGGGCCGAGGGCGGTGCCCTCCGTGCTGCTCCGCCCGCCGGCCCATTCACAGGGGCCGGCCCAGCCGGGCCGGGGTCTGCGATGGGGCCGCCTCCCAGGCACCGGAGAGGCGGCAGGGGGCGCTTGGAACGCGCGAGTCCCGGGGCCTTCTTCGCGGAGGCCGGGGGCTGAGAGGGGCGCCCGGGACCGGAGCGGGGGCGGGTCGGCTGGCACGTGGAGGGGCCGGGCGGGGACTGCGGCTCCCGGCGCCCGGCCGGGAGGGGCTGGAGACGCCGGGGCTCAGGAGGGTCTGCGGCCAGGGTCTGCAGAGCCGTCTAAATCAGACTCTTCGGGCCCAATCTCTGTCTCAGGAGTGGCGCCCTCTCTAGCTTCTCTGGGGGGGGGCCAGCGGCTCAGAGGGGCCTGGCAAGACCCCTCTGCTCCCATGGGGGTGAGAAGCAAAGCTGGGGGGACTCGGAGGGGGACGCCAGATCCAGAAAGGGGGGCGATGCTCAGAACTGAGACCCTCGGTCTCTCTCATCCGCTCCCTTCCTCCTTCCCTTCTCTGCTTTTCCAGGGAGGTGCACCTGGAGCAATCTCGCCTGCCGGCTGTGCGGGGGTGGAGGTGGGGAGGGAACGCGAAGGGGTGAGGCCCGAGGGAAGGGAGGTCTAGGTGCGAGGAGGCCGCTCCTGGGAGGCGGGCGTGGGGGGACAGAGGTCGCTTTTCCCTGGCAGGGACCAAGGAGAAACCCGAGTAGCTGCTGACGTCTCGCCACCATGAGGGAAAGGCCTGCTGGGGCTCTGCTTTCTCTATCAGGGTCCGGAGAAGGACAGAGCAGAGAGTAGTGAGCACAGAGTGGGCAGTGCCCAGGAAGGGGGCAGTGTGAGAGGAGCCAGCTCCCAAGGGGAAGGGGCAATGTAAGGGAAGAGCTGGTATCCGTGGGAGAGGACAGTGCCAGGATGAAAGGGCACGTAGGAGATCAGTGTCCACAGGGAGAGTGCAGTGGTGGAGGAATGGGCAGCACCAAGATGAAGGGGCAGTGCTCAGGAGGAGGGCAGTGTGATGTGGCTAATGCCAGGCTAAAAGGGCGGCGTGGGGGAAGGAGGCAGTGGCGGGGAGTGTGCAGTACCAGGGGAGGGGACAGTGCAGGCTTTTCTCTTCGCCATAGTGACATCATGGCAAATTCCCAAACTGGGTGGACCTGGCTCGGGTGACACCCAGCAGAGCCGAGCTGGGCCGGGCCGGCCTGGCGGGGCCTCGGTGCCAGCTGGAGGAGCTGGGTACAGCCCCCTGCCGGGCCCGCGCTCTGGAGGCGTGGTTCTGCTCCGCCTGCCCTCGGCGCGGACTGTGCCCTCGGCAGGGCGGGCGGACCGGCAGGGTAGGGCTAGGGCCAGGCTTCTCTGGGCCAAGGATCAAGGTCCCTGGCTGGGGTAGGCCCGCACGCATTCCAGTCTTCCGGGGGACTCCGAAGAGGGCGCCGTAGAGCCTCAGCAGCCAGCGAGAACCGGCGCCACCTCGGCGGAAGGTGGGACCCGTTGTGTCCCCGCCCTGGGGCGGAGTTATCTGGACCTGGGACCCGCCCTCAACGCCGAAGCCTCTCGGAAGCAATCGTTCGGGGAGGAAGTTAAGAAGCCCCGAGAGCAAGGCGGCGGAAGTGGCTTCATCCCCGTACGTCCGTGCGCATGCGTTATTCTATTCCTTTGCCGCCGCTCTGTGGGCGCTGCCTTTTCCGTCTCCGCTTGTATTCTCCACGCGAGGGGGTGTGTGTACACCTAGTCGTGGTCGCGCCCTCAGCCTCTCTCCTATTCTTGTGGCTCGCTCACCATGGCGGGCATCCTGTTTGAGGATATTTTTGATGTGAAAGATATTGACCCGGAGGGCAAGAAGTTTGACCGAGGTAAGCAAGGTTTCTAGGGGCAGTTTGGGGTAAGGGGCCAATCTCCTCCTCGGGGACACGCCCCTGGGCCCCTTGTCCACCCAGCTCACGTGGCCTGCTCCTACCGGCAGGTCCTGATGTAGGGACCTCCCTGAGGAAACATTTTATGGACGAGAAAACGGAGACTCCTAGCTCTCCCTGGCTTCACACACGCTGTGCCGGGTGCCTGGGGGGGCCTTTCTCATGGTGCTAGTAAACTCGGGGCATCTTTCTAATCACTCCCCACTCTGTACTAGGCGCTGTACTGTGCACCTTACACACTCTTTTGTCTTACTTATTCCTTTCAAGAGTCTCCATGAGGTAGACGGTGTCTTACCCATTTTGCTCAGAGAGGTTAAGTAACCCACCCAAGGCTGCACAGCGAGTAATGCGACTTCAGAGCCTGTATTCTTGTATTGCCCTTAGAATCTTTAGCTCTTTGTGAACTCCTCTGTGAGTTAGAGTTGACTGCTTGATATGCACCTCTTTATTCTGTCATTGATCAATAATTGTTTCTCCTTGGCGTCTCTTCCTTTGCCTGGAGACTGAGATGTTTTTCAAGAAAAACACTAGTTCTTACATGTGTCGATAATCCCCTCAGCATGGCGCCTGGCACAGAAAGATGAAACCTCTGGATGAATGAATAACTTGCCCTAAGTCAGGTTGTTTCTTAATCACTTAGGTAGGCCTAGAACCTGGATATTACTTGTTGCCAGAGGACCTTTGATTCTTTTCCAAGGATTCTGTCCACCTGCCATAGTTTTTCTCCCCTTTCCTTCTTGCATATCTGGTTCTGATTGAGCCTGCGCTCTTATGAGAGCAGACGAGAGGCCAGTGGATGCAGACTGGGTTCGACTGAGTGTTTTATTGCATACAGTCCCCCAAAGTGGGATCTGCAGGATCTGCCTCGGGCCAGGCAGTTACCTCTGTCACTCTTTCTCTACTTCCCTCCAGTGTCTCGACTGCATTGTGAGAGTGAATCTTTCAAGATGGACCTCATCTTAGATGTGAACATTCAGATTTACCCTGTAGACTTGGGTAAGTGTTGAACACAGACAGTAGCAGGAGGCTTTTTGCCATTTTGGCTGTTCTTCACCCTCAGATATTGCTATTATTCTCAGGTGACAAGTTCCGGTTGGTCATAGCCAGTACCTTGTATGAAGATGGCACCCTGGATGATGGTGAATACAATCCCACCGATGACAGGCCTTCCAGGTGAGGGAGTGGAGAAAGGAGTACCTGAAATATGCCTGAGGACTGGGGCCGGCCCGGTGGCATAGCAGTTAAGTTCCCATGCTCCGCTGCGGCGGCCCGGGGTTCGCAGGTTCGGATCCCAGGCGCGGACAGACGTACTGCTGTCAGGCTGTGCTGTGGCGGCGTCCCATATGAAGTAGAGGAAGATGGGCATGGATGTGAGCCCAGGGCCAGTCTTCCTCAGCAAAAAGAGGAGGATTAGCAACAGATGTTAGCTCAGAGCTAAACTTCCTCACAAAAAAAAAAAAGAAATATGCCTGAGGACTAAGTAGATAAGGCCTGTATAGAAAGACCCGTATTTAATTCATGGACTAAATGATTATCAGCAGAATCTGAGTAACCCTAAGGAAATTGGTGCACTGAAGAATTCAGACAACCAGGTGTTTATCCAGAGCAGTGATTACATGCTTGTGAGTTGTAGCTTTTTGGTGGCTGAGGAAATGACCACTGAGTGACATGGGCTGTGTGGGCCTTGCATCTTGGGAGGGAATTTGGTGTGACGGAAAGGCTTTTGGAGCCCCACTGAGTTCAGATCTCAGCCCTACCACTTATTTACTGAATAACCTCCATGTCTTTCAGCCTCAGTTTCCTCATCAGTAAAATACAGATGGTCATACCTAGCTCACGGGGTTGCTGTGAGGACTAAATGAGCTCGTGTTTGGAAGGTGCCTGCTGTTACAATGCTGGCACTTAGTTCAGTTACCATTTTTAAAGGGCCTTTTATTATTGTTAACTACTTTTTTTTTTTTTGGTGAGGAAGATTGGCCCTGAGCTAACACCTGTGCCCATCTTCCTCTATTTTGTGTGTGGGACACCGCCACAGCAGGGCTTGATGACTGGTGTTGGTTCGAGCCTGGGATCTGAACCTGTGAACCCCTGGCCACCGAAGCGGAGCGCGCCGAACTTAACCACTGCACCACTGGGCTGGCCCCCGTTGTTAACTACTTTTAAGAATAACTTTGCCACTGTTGTTCCACAGGGCTGACCAATTTGAGTATGTAATGTATGGGAAAGTGTACAGAATTGAGGGAGATGAAACTTCTACTGAAGCGGCAACACGTCTGTAAGTTCCGTGGTCTCGTGAAAACCCTTCCCTCCGCCCTGTTCTGAGAATTTGGGCTATGCTCTGAAAATTCAGGCCATGCTCATGCTTCCTGTGTTGGGTCCCTCTCCCCAAGCACCTCAGACCTAGGCAAGACCCAGAAAGAAACTGTTCTGGGAGCAGTTTCCAGTCTGAAATGTAGGCTGCTCACTTAGCCCTTTGTTAGGACCCCAGGGCCCGGTGGTCCATATGGAAACTGGTCATCTGGCTGTGTGAAGTGCAAGGGAAGATTGCTTCCCCAGGAACAAAATGCAGCATTAAGTGATTAAACTGCCAGTCTTTTTTGTTTTTGTTTATTTGTGTGTGTTTTGCTACTCTGCAACCCGATCCCTCTTTCTTTGCTTTCCCTTCCCAGCTATTTTTTCTTTTCTTTAAAATCTTATTAAAACAATATGTGCCCTTTGTAAGAAATCTGAAAAGCGGAGAAGTACTGTGAAGAAGGAAAAAAGGTCACCTATAATTCCATACCCAGAGGGAACCTTTTACGTAAACATTTTTGAATATTCTAGGTTTTTTTCCCTGTGTACTTTTTTCTTTGAGATCATATTGTTTATTACAGTGTTTTCTTCTGCTCTTTTTGCTTAATGTTATGTAAAAATGTTTCCCCATGTCAGTTTAAGGCTTTCTCTAAACATTTTAATAGCTGCATAACATTCTAGTAAATGGATGTATCTTAATGGATTTGACCATTTCCCATATTCTGGGCATGTAGTATTTTCCACCTTTGCTAGTGTAGAGAACACTGCCTTGCACATACCTGTGCATTTATCTTTGTCTGAATTTTGGTTCCTAATGACAAAGGACTAGAAGGTGCCTCTTTTTCTTAGGCTGGGATGGAGAGCTGCTGAGTAGCAGCTGCTCCAGAGCTTAGATTCATGGGATGGGTCTTCTGTTTCAGCTCTGCCTATGTGTCCTATGGGGGCCTGCTCATGAGGCTGCAGGGTGATGCCAACAACCTGCATGGATTTGAAGTGGATTCCAGAGTGTATCTGCTGATGAAAAAACTGGCCTTCTGAACCATCCCGGAAGCCAACCTTGCTGCTTAGTCTCTCAGGCCACGGACAGTCGTTCAAGCCTGAGTGGAGTTGCTGTTGTTCACCTGTTCGGGAGGTGCTGGCTTTCTGTCCACTGTGGCTGCATCTTTAGGTGGTCTGGACTCAATGGGAAACTGACTAACCTGTGAAAGACCCAGTGGGAGAGCTTAAAGTGAATCAGAAGTTGTTTTGTGTATGTGATTTTTTTTAATTAAACTTTACTTTTTCAGACACCCTTGCCCTTTTTAAAAAAAATTTTTCCATTTACTTTAAAACCATTTCTCCAGTTCTCCTATGGTATATTATGTTTCTGGTCCACAGCCAGATGATGACATGTCAGTGTAGGATCTAGCCCAGCCTTTTGGTATTTGGGTTCAGGGTTATCTTAGTCTCCTGGCTGACTCTCCCCTACATTTACCTTCCAATGGGATTTTTCTGTCTGGGAGAGAGAGTGTTGTGCTTTTGGCTCCTGAGGGCACCCCAGGCCCGGAAGATACCACCCATTTGGCATAGAATTTTGAATTGGCAAGGAGCCCTGCTCGTGTCCTTCCAACACTTTCAGTCTCTTAGGAAGTCAGATCACATTGACTTGAATGAGTCACTTGCATAGCCTGGAAATGTTCATTTTTATGGAGGCTTTGGGTGGAGGCTTTTAGACACAGGCATGGAACACAACTATGAAGAGAACAGGAAGAGTGGATTTGGTGTTTATGGAAGTAGGCAGAGGAGCTAGCTCTCTGCTCTACATTCTAGTGGTGACCTGGAGAGGGGGTAAGCGGTGGTGGTTCTTACCAGTGACACTGAACAGGGAGCTGCTGTACAGACCAGTGAAGTGGACAGGGCAGCAATACCAATGAGGTTGGCAGTCCAGTGCCAGTGCCCAGGACAATACAGCAGCCTGACTGCGGTCACTAACTTAAAAATGAGGGAAGAACAAAGTTGAAATAGCAATGCTTACAAGGACTCCAGTATAGGAGCTGTGTCTTCAGCCTGGCATTTGAGGTTCCTGAGAAAGTATACAGGACTCTGATTTCCCCTAGGAAATTTGGAGTAACAATCCAAAAAGATTGTGTGTATTAAGCAGTTTGATCTTTTTTGATCTCCCGGTTTTGCCATGGGAGCTCGTCCGCCTGCTGGGATGCCTGGGGTATTTCCTTCCCCATCATTTTCAGGTCTTTACATGAGGTGTTAGAAATAGTGTTTAGGGAAATGGGTTGAAAATGAATGGCCTCTGCAGGGGGGAGGAAAAGGTGTTTCTTTTGCTTTACTGTGGGGTGGATTGGGGGGAATAAGAGATGCAGTGGGGGTTGGGATGAAATTCTAACCTTTGGATGGATTAGGAAATCCTAACCTATGGAATCCTAAAACCTTTCTGTGGAGTCAAGTTTTTTTGCGGGGGGGTGGACAGTGGCGGGCAGTGGGGTGCATTGGAGACAGATGGATTTAGGTTAGAGTGGGAGAACCTAATTACCAATAATAGTTTGTGGGGCAGCAGAGTGTCCTGGCTGCCCTGGGGTGGCAGAAGAAAGAAAACTGGCATACAGTTGACTAGAGATAAGAGTGTTCTGGTTGTGATGGTTTTTGTTTTTTGTGTAAAGGGAAGAAGGGACAGAATAAGCCAGACAGAATGATTTGGGAATGATTAGATCCTCAGTAGGGGCAGATTAGTCCACACTGGAGAAGCCCATGAGTTATTTGCATTTGCCCTGGAGTAAGTCAAGTGCCAATACTGGATGCCTGGAACTTTCTGGCTACATATTTCTTGCAGTCTTGCCATCTTTGTCTCTCATCTGACTCTTCTGAGAACCCTTAATTCTTTGTCTTTGGTCCCTGTGGCATATCTTGTCCTAGGTGTTGGCCTTCATGTGCCATCAAGTGTTTCATTTGATTCATTAGACTTAACCTACTTTAGTATTTCAGTGAATTAAAATTTCTACTTACCATTCCCTTGACTGCATGCTGGAATTTGTAGTGTAGATAAACTGATTCTCTCCCATGGAGAAACTGACACCATCCAAGATTTGGACAACACTTTTGAGCTTCGTGCATTTGTTGATTCCTTCTCCATGGCAACTGTTTGGTCCATGATGGGAGATAGGGACACCTGGAGATGTCTAAATTGGTCACCCCTACCAAGACCTTTGGTTTTCTACTCAGAACTCTTTAACTGTTGATGTATTTACTCCCTAAGGACTTGGAAATCTTTCCCAATAAATAGAATCACTGAGTGATATATTGGACAGTGTACCACACTGTGGGGAGTGTGGGCCCCAGACTCAGTCAGCCTAGGGTGTTTCCTCTTTTCCTGCTCACAAGCTGTGAAACCCTTGGGAACTTGCCTGGCTTCTCTGAGCCTCAGTTTCCTCATCTGTACAATAGTCATGATGATACCTACCTTACAGAGTTGTGTGAGTGTTAAAAAAGGTAATGTACATAAGGTTCCCGGCACACTGGCTTTCTACTGTTTTCGAATGCTTTTAGTGATCCTAGGGTATCTGTGGTGGTGTTTTGAACTCTGGGTTCTTGGCTCCTCTACCCACATGGTAGCCTTTCCTCTCCTTTGGGGAGTTAGTGGGGAGAGGAAAAAGCTTCCATTAGTTTTCCTAAAGGAGCCTCTGGAGGTAGCGTTGACCTTTCCAGTGGAGTTTTTGTTTGGGGCAGTATAAACCTCTTCTTCCTAAGCACCACGACAGCATTTATTTGCAAAGCCCCATAAGCCTGGCTTCTTTTCTAGAGATTCCCCTAGCAGAGTTTATGGTGGTCACATAGGGCCGCTTTGTCCATACTGAGCACTTCTGGGAATTGGGAAATGAGTCTTCAACTTGTACTTGACTTGTGCTGGCCCCTCCTGCTGTGGGAGCCCTAGGAGCCTGACTCATGCCGCTTCCTGCACTTCCCCCTGACCTCCACAGGAGGGAGGCAGGAGCCCAGGCCTGCTGGAGCATCCTGCTGTGCCGCTGAGGCTCTGGCTGTTTGCTCAGCTGTCACCTCCAGGTCTGGTTTTGACTGAACTGTCTGTACAGGCTTACCTGGGGTGTGAGGCTCTCCAAGGTTTCCTGTTAGCTTTTTTTTTTTTTTTTTGGAGGGGGAGATCTGTTACCCCCTGAGAGGAACATCTTTCCCTTGCTTTTCAGTTAGCTTTTGGGTGCTCTCATTTATTCTTTATTTATATAGGCTCAGTTTTGTTTATTGTGTAGGGACAGCCTTTCTGAGACACAACTTCTCATTCATTTCTCAAGGGTAAGGATTGCCCCTAAAAAAAGGAGATCAGAGTCCCATTGAGAATGATAGTAAAAGGGGAAAAGAGACTAACCTTAGTAAAAGGGGAAAAGAGACTAACCTTCGTTCTGAGTAGAAAATCAAAACTCTTTTGTCTCTGACATAAGGTTAGTCTCTACCTCTGTTCACAGGCCACTTCAGGCCTTTGCAGAATTATCGTATGAAAAAAGCATATAGAGAATTAGTAAATTGTAAGTTTGTGCAGAAAACAGACCAAAGATAATTAGCTGCTCTGGTGAATATTCTTGATAGCTTAAAAAAATAGCTTCTGAAGTTTTATAATATACAGTGAAAAATGATCCCTTTTTCTGTCCTGTGTATCCCTGTTTACCAGGGCTTTGGGCGTCAGGTGAGAGCAGGAAATCTGGGATAGCTGCAGTTGTACCCCGGGGCCTCTCCTCCGGGTAAGGGGATTTTACATGGGAGACGATGCTGATGGTTGGCAGTGCCTGAGTACCTTACTCTTCCTGAGACAGATTTTGCAAGTGAGAGTGGGCTGCAATTAGATGAGGACTGGGAGAGTTGAGCATGATACCAGAGGGGTCAGGAAGTGGGGCTTGGAGCTGGACCGTTGGGGTGGGCATGATGGGTGAAGAAGAGAAGAGTGTGTATTGTCCAGCTGAAGGACGGGTCAGGGAAGGAGAGTCTCCAGGCGGATGGTAGGGTGGCAGGGAGCCCACGTCCAAAGTTCCTGGAGAAATGTCCAGGGCTCCTAGGTTCTTGGGTGAGGGTCCAGGAAAGAGTCCATGAGTTCCATTCAAGGACCTGTTCAGGTGTCCAGGGATTTGGTCTAGGGACCTCGAGGTTTGGTTCAGCAGACCAGGAATCTTGGCTCTGAATCCCTGCAGCCTCTTCAGAAGTCCAGAGCCAGTAGTTTTGGCTGAGACACTGGAGTTTGTCTCCAACAATCCGGAAGTCCTGTTTGCGAGCTTGTTCAGTGTGAGGAATAGAGAGGTACTGCTTGGGACTGCTGTGGTGGGTAGGGCCCGCTTGGCACAGAGGGTGGGCCCTACCACAAACAGCAGGAAACGCACCTTTCCTCGGAGCAGTTGTTGGAAGGTCAGAAAGATGGCATCGGGATCCTTGTGAGCTGTAGTCCTGCCCTGTGGAGGAAGCTGAGGGCAGAGGATGGGCCTGAGGCCAGAAACCTGGGCCAGATATCATGCCTCCCTCGTCTACGGGGATGATAGGGTACCAACACCACGTTTCATGGCTGGGAAGGAGGGAGCACTCCTTAGTAGGTCAAGTCTTCTACACTCAAGATTTCTAGAACTCCCCTTTCTTCCCTCAGGTCTTCTAAGGGGACTGAGTCAGAAAAGGACAGTTTCTATAGTTCCTTGAGTGGAGACTTACCTGGGTTCCAAGGAGGCCCTGCAGGGCCCCAAGGAGGAGGCGGACTTGTCCAGAAAGCTGTCCCAGTAGGGAGGAGAGGCAAGTGGGTCCCAGTTGTCCCCGTGCTGCCATCACTCCCTCCAGCAGAAGGGTTGCTGCTCCCAGAACGTCCTGTGCCTTGGTCTGCTCCTGGGAAAGAGATGGAAGAGAGAAGCGGACAGCTTCAAAGGGCATGGTAATAGTGGGTGGGGAGCCTGGAGGAGTAGCCAGCAGAATGAGTCATAGGAGCTGAGAACTGGACAGGACCAAGGTCCCACCCAGCACAGGAATTCCTTCACAGTATCCCGACAATTGGTCATCAGCCTGCACTTGAATAACTCCAGTGTCCGGTAACCCAGCCTGGTCTTACACTTAATTTCAGTCAGAAAAGTTCTTTTTTTTTCTTACAGTATGCTGAAATCTGCCGTATTATAGCTTTTGCTTCTTGGTTCTGGTGCTGCAAATTACTCTTTCTGCTACAAAATCTTAGGATCATGAGTTTTTTTAACTTAGATGAGACCATCATAAAGATGGAGGGAAGGTGCTTCCTCATCAATGGCCGAGCTGGAACTGGAAGGGATCCCTAGGAACTGCCCTCCTTCCCTGGCCCAGTCCTCCTAGAAGACTAGAGGGAAAAAAGGAAATTCTAGGGATCTTGAGGGTAGAAGACTGACTTTCCAAGGAATGCTCCCTCCCAGTAGGTTTCCTAAGTCTCAGACTAAAGCACTGCGTGCTGTACCACAAGACTACCACTTTCTCCAAGCTAATCAGACAGGCTTTTTTTTAAAACCATTCATCACGTAACATGTTTTCTAACCTCTCACTGTTCAGGTTGCTTCTGCCTTCTGGGTCCCTCTGAATAAATTAGCATGTGTCTAAAGGAGGATGTCTAGTACTCAGACCAGTACTTTTAAGTGCAGTCCACTCAGAATAGAGTTTTATAGGAATATTTCCACAATGTGGAAACATCTAAAGCCGCCTAGAATCACTAGCTTTTTAAATAGCTGCTTCAGTAATGTTACATGGTAAGTTTGGGGTCAACTCAACCTTCCCAGGTCTTTTTCATAGTAAGTTCTAGGGCTAGAAGTTTATCTGAGGGAAGCAGGGGCATCGTGGCCTGAAAGCTGGAATAGGACTTTACTCAATTACACATGTAGAATTTTATATATATCTCTGTTAAAATTTCACCTTGGTTTTGACCTAGCCTTTCAGCAGTTTGAATCTGGATTCTGTCTTTTGTTATTTTAGCTGTGCTTCCCAGTTTTGTGTCATCTGAGGATGACAGATCAGTCTTACTTCTTCATGCCAACTTAAGAAGGTTGAACGGGAATAGAAGGTCAAAGGCATGGCCATGAGAGACTTCTATCCAGCTTTTCTTGGTGTTCAACTTCGAATCTATTTAACCTACTGGGACTGCAAGCCATCATCTTGTTCAGGGGATTATCATCATAGTAGAATGTAGATTGGGTTAGGGTGGCCAAGCTGAAGGTGAGATATTTTTGGGGAGCTCAAGAATTTTGAAGAATCCATGGGAAGGAGTAGGAAACTGATGAAGACAGGACTCAGGGAAACCAAGGGAAGGGCTGGCTTTCTTACCGTTTGGGTTTTCCATTCTCCCAAGCTAAAGTCCACAGCAGGCAGCAGGACAGGTGTGGACAAGAGGTTAACGTCTGGGCACTGGCTCTGTTGAAAAAGATTGGGGTGGGGGAGAAGGGAGTTGAAATAGAGGGGAGTGTGGTGGCCCAATCAGCAAGATAGGCTTCCGTGAGTAATATATCCAGACTAGAGCTTTTAGAAGGGCTGGATTACAAATCATAATCCCTGTCAAAGAGTGGTGATAGGGAGTTGGTTGTCTTACCAAAAAGACAATACTAGAAGAACAGTGATTGGGTCGGGAACCGAGAGCAAGTGTTGGGAGTGAGGGTATCTTACCAGTTAAATGGATAGAGGGGAGAGAGCCTGGGGATTCTCACCAGTCTGCCATGAAGGACATGGGAGTCACGAAGCAGTTTGTTTAGGAGTCGGGGGTCACAGGCAGGAGGAGCCGGGCTGGACAAAGTTAGTCGTGCCGTTAGGAGAAGCATGACCGTGAGGAGCAGTTCTTAAATGAGGAGAGGTGAGGTTGAAAGGGGTGGATAAGGAAGAAATCATTGTCGGGTGGTGGTCCCGGAATTCCCATTTGGGACCCACACCTGAAATTCAGGGAATCTACCACTCAGAATCCTTATTCCTGGGAGGTTGGGCTCCCCCAGCCCTCCCCAATGCAGCCTACCTCCTTTCTCTTTTCCCCTCTACTGTGCTCTGATTTGGCTCCAGCCCCCTTGGGTGTGTTCTTACCAGTCAGCTCCATTCTGGCCAGGCTGTCTGGTTGGCGTGGCTCCCTGTGTGGGGCCTCTCCCCTGAATCCTTCCTGGGGCCATGGAGGCGGCTTGGGCTCTTGCACTTCTGGGCAGAGTGGGGTGGGGCACAGGTGGGCCGAGGGAGAGGGTCTGGAATCTATCCTGCAAGTGACAGGAATAATGACCATTTAATCAGGTTTCAAGGAAAAGCCTGCCTGGCTAGGGGAACAGATCCTGGGAGGGCTTGAGATGCTGACCAGCCTAGAACTGTCAAAGCTCTGAGTGCTCCCACGTTTTCTTGTGAGTGTAGCATATGGTGTCTCCTCTTTGTCAGGGTTCCTCAGTGAGTCTGATATGGGTTTGGTGCCCCTGCCCCCTGCTGAGCAGCAGGACAGGATATGGACATACACACACACATCTTTTTTTTTTTTTTTTTTTTTTAAAGATTTTATTTATTTTTTTTTTCCCCCCAAAGCCCCAGTAGATAGTTGTGTGTCATAGCTGCACATCCTTCTAGTTGCTGTATGTGGGACGCGGCCTCAGCATGGCCGGAGAAGCAGCGCGTCGGTGCGCGCCCGGGATCCGAACCCAGGTCGCCAGCAGTGGAGCGCGCTCACTTAACCACCAAGCCACGGGGCCGGCCCACACACACACATCTTAATTGGCCTCAAATTCTGAGCAACCTTGGTGGTTTGGTTGGAGAAAATCTGGGATGGGGATTGAGAATGGAAGTACTGTGGCACAAGCCTGGAGAAGAGAGGGGAAAACGGGATGTAGGGCCAGGATGAGGAGCTAGCACACATTGCAGTGTGCTGAGGGGTAGCTTGGGGAGTGGGGTTCAGAAGGGGAATTGGATGAAAATAAAGCTGGACCACTAGAGGTTGGTGATGAAAAGATTAAGAAAAGGTGCTGTGGGAGAAGGTCACCTCTATTCTTTCTTTAATGACCCCACCACATAAGGCCTCTTGGAGTTTTTCTTTGCATTCCAAGTTCTGAAATACTGGGTTTTCCAAGGTGAAGAGGTGGGCTAACAGTCTTGGGACTTCCTTCCTGAGGCAAGTTGCCCAGGAATGGGTACCTGCTGAGTGAGGCACCCGCCTTACACGGTTTATCTCACCTTAAACACCCAGGATATCTGTCTCATAGCCCGCACCTTCCTCCCTGCCCCCTCTGCAGACCCCTTCCAGTTCCTTCGCAGGACCCCCCACATGGCTTCCTCCTCCTTTCACAAGTTGTGCAAAGAGCCCTGCACCTGATTCAATATTGGGATTTCCTGTAGGTCTGTCAACATGCAAGAGCCCTCCTCCCATTACCCTCTCCTTGGGCCCTGGCTTGCCTGACCCAGCTTCCCCAGCCCCAAGATTCAGAACCTTAAGCTAACTAGGAATGACTGGGTAAGAATGGGGATTGGGGCTGTGTCCATCTTGGTGCTGTATCCTCTAAGCCCTAAACACACCTCCTTTCTTAACTTCTCCCCGGGCCCATATTCCCTTTCCTTTGGGCCGGCTGTGTTCCACCAACTCCGTGATCAGTCCCTCAGAACCCAGCACCCCACCCCCTGCCCTGCTCTGTCTGCTCCTCCCATTCTGGGAAGGCTATACTCTTCTCGACAAAGGTCAGTGCCTGTAGGTTCCAGTTTGCCTGCCCCTCCCCCAGCTGAGAGCCCAATTCCTCTTTCCAGTCTTTCCTACCCTCACTTAACTCCAAACCCTGCTTGCCACTCACCGGCTGGAGAAGGGCTCCAGGCCCCAGGTGCAGCACAGGCAGCACTCTGGAGAGCAGATGGGTAGGAAGACAAGTGGCAGTGGGGCATAGCCCCTCCACGGCAGTGGGGTCACACGCCTGCCCTGGCCACTTCTGCCCAATCAGAGAGCAGGGAACCACCAGACACTGGCGAGGGCCCCCGGAAGTGACGCCTTCTCCTCCTACCCGCGCTGGACCTGGAGCCCCTGCCTGGACCATGGTCCACTAGCAGAGCCCAGCTCAACCACCCACACACACCACAGTGAAGATTTGAATAGGGGATCCGTCTTTTCCCAGAAGATGGGAAACCTGGGACCTGGCTAGGGGAGGAGATGGGAGAAGAACTGAGGTTTTCCAGGATGAATCTGGCAGGACATTTTTGTTCCTGGGGAAGAGGTCTGGTTTTAGATTGGTGGGTTTTTCAGTTCCTGGCTGTCCAAATTTATTTTCCCTGGGTACCACACCTGCTGCTGAAATCCAGTAGGGCACTTGCTTTGTTGCTTTTCTTTCCTATAACCCTTAGGGGGTCGTGTCTTGTTCCCACCTTCCAAGTGGGAATGTGGGTATTGCTCGTATTGGAGAAAGACCCTGTCAGGGATCAGTGTTGTGGGGAAAGGGTTTGGACAGTTTGAGAGGACTTCGCGGTGAGGGGCGTGTGTGCTGGGTTAAGCTGGGCTTCCATGCTCCTCTGCTGTGCCCTGTGACTCCGACAGCTAAGTCCATTTATCTCAGTGCCCATGCCCTCCTTTGCTTGCCCTGTCTTTCTGCCTCTTCCATCTCCTACCACTCCACATGTGACAAGAGGAATAACCAGGCCCATGTGTCCCTCTCTTAGGAGAGACAGCTGCTGAACCTCCCCCACAAATACCTCCCGCTGGCCCCCCTCTTCCTTTGACCCTGGCTCTAGTTCCTCTGCTTTCCCCTCAGTCCTGGTCTCCCCACAGTCTCTGTCCTCAGGGGCCTCCTGGCCTGACCTTGTTCCCATCACCCCTCTCTCCCCCCCGTTCTTCCTCAGGCTCCCTCCTGCTCCTTCTCGCAAGGATGGGGCTGTCTGCTAAGGAGTATGGCCTAAATCCCGGAATTCTCCAGTTCAGCCAGATGAGATGCCTCCCAAGATTAGGAAGGAGGGTGCTGGGATGGTTGGGAGGATGGTGGGCGTGTGGGGGTGGGAGGGGACAGGGAAGCAGTCATGACCAGGAAACCAAGACAAAGGAGGTCGGGGGTGGGGTGGAGAGGCAGAGGGTCCCCTGGGTGAAGGAAGAGGGTGAGAAAGCATATCAGGATGGGATGATGATGGTTGGATGGACCTGAGGACAGGTTACAGTAGGGAGGGAAACACTGTCACCAGGCAGAAAGGGGACACTGTCTGTTTCTGGCTGAGTCTCGTCCTGGGGAACAGCAGAATGAGGAGAGACCTCAGAGAAGAGGTAGGGACACAGGCTAGGCAGTGAGAGTGGGTGGTGTGGGGTTTGAGAGATGCTGAGAGCCCAGGGCCTTTCCTGCACATTGTCATCCCTAAAGACGAGTCTTCATCCTTCCAGCAAGAATTGAGTCCTAGCCCAGTGGCCGGCCCAGGCCTCAGGCCCAGCCTCTGCCCCTCCCTGGCCTGGGGCTCCCGTCCTGGGCCGGACACACACCTCCTGGTCCAGCCGCCCTGTGGCCGCCGGCAGCGGGGGTGCTCCAGACCCGCCTCTCCTCCCTTCTTCGCGCCCCCTGGTCCCTCCCCTCCCCCTACCCCCTTCGCTCCCCCTTCCCCTCCAGCCCCTCCCTCCTCCCCTGCCCGGTCCCAGCCCCTCCCTCCCCTCCCCCACTCGCGATCCGGGCCGCTGCTGCTGGGCCGGACCCCCCGGGCTCAGCCCGGCCCCTCGCCGAGCCGCCGCCGCCGCCCCGTTTGCTGAGGAGGAGGCCCCCAGCCGGGGCGCCGGGCGCGGGGCATAAAACGGGCCAGAGCCGGCGCCTAGGGCACTAGAGC